TTTGTAAATATATCTTTGATAATGCACTGGCAAGAAATATATTTTTTTTAAATTTTTTGAAGCAAAATTTTACTTTTTTTCAAATTTAATTTACTTCTATCGTTGTGTTGCAACAGCAAATAGTGTCACATAAACTGCAGCGAAATTTTCCTACTTAGCGACTAATTGGTCAGATAATCAGTAAATTTAAAAGGATTTTTCTTGCTTGCAGATTTTTTTCTTCCATTCTTAGAAACTGTGCTCTTCAAAAATTTTGAAAAGATTAGAATTATGGAAATAATAATAACTGGCAAAGAAAGTTTAGTCGTTGAATGATAAGGTAATGTAGCGAGTGGTAGAAAGAATGGAAGTAAGCTTTGTGCAACAGGTTGTATTAATCCTTCTGACATTTTGAACATGGATTGTTTACTTTTAAAAAGTTTTATATAAACAGCGGGCTTTTCTTTTTTTTCGGATTATGTCTTCGTTAATTTTTTTACTTACTTGACGTAAAACTTTGAGATATATCATTAGTGTGTGTTGTTATAAAATGTCTTTTATGTCGTTAAACTCTGATTTTTTTTACTTTTTTACATCTCATGGACATGAAAAATGATGCCAAATCTTTTTTCACCGATAACTTTTTATCATCGAATTTCTGGGATGTTCTGGTTACCTCGTAATGGCTTATTAGTTGCTCGTTTTTATATTTTTTAAATCATCATCCCAAATATTTGGTGATATAGTTGATTGATATAGAATTAACTGATTGAAATATACCTATTGCTGGTAATTAATATTGATTGTCATGAGGGCTGGTTACAAGGTTTTTAACCTATTGCTCTTCGTGTTTTATTACTTGGAATTTTGAATTACAATGAAGGATGTTTTTGTAATCATTTCATTTTACATGCATTAAGTGTTCTTCACAGTCATTTTGTATCATTGGAAACTGCAATGTTTTTGTTTCATTTCTATTTTCGATACATGATTACCCGTTTTTTCCCATCTATTATACTACTACACGTCGATTCTTACTTTTTGCTTCAGATAATTCGTCTTTGATAAAAGATGTTGACAGAAGTAATTTTTTGTGCATTACATATTGTATATTTTGTCAGAATATACAGAGCATTGGGTTTTACTGAGTACAGAATAGCAAATAGTATGGCTAAGATTTTGAAGTGAGTAAGAAGAGGTTAAAACAGTCATTAGAAATTTCACGCAGATTTATTGGTTTCTTCGGTTTGGAAAGATATTGTGCAAAGTTAATTTTGCTTACTTTATTTTTTCATCAAATGGCAGGAAGCTGTATGCTTACAGTACTTCCTTCCCTAAAAAACTGCCATTATTTCTGAAAGTATGGCAAAGATTATTAATTGATATAGCATAAAATGGTGGATATAATTTATGATTTATAATTAGAACACAATTAACTATATAAAGCTAAGGCTCGAAGTTAAGCAATGAAGCGGGCAACGGAGTCACGGAAATTATTATGCAATATGAATTGATGACATGTATGCAAAAAGATTCATTTCATTCTTGTTTCTTCACAAATAACTTGACAACTACAGCTCATATGCTTATTATATTAGTTAATTTGTAGCATTTATGTTTTTCCATGAAATATATCCGTTCTATGATTAAAAAATAGATTGATTAATAGTAATGATACGAAATACGGAATAGTGAGTGAAGTAAGCAAAATACAGAAGAATGTTGAAAGGATAAAGCGTGGGATATGGTTGTGTGAAGCACATCACATTCATCTCTTGGCTTTATTCAAATACAAGTGAATTTTTTTAAACTGCAATTAAAAAATAATATATGAATATTACTTAATTTTTTCAAGTAGTCATCTAGCCATCTGTACAAATGAATGAATGCTCAAAGTGATAGCTAGCACTTTCTTTCATACATATTACACACACACTCCTTCAACTTTCTTCCCACACAAAAAGCTTTACCACAAGCAAATGAATATATTGGGAATGTAAGTATACTATCAACCTTACTACTTGAGAAAATCAAGTTGGTTTGATAATTAATTTAGTTAATAAAAAACAAATTTGCCTCATTACAAAAGTTCATCTATTCTAAACTGCATAAAAAATAACTGATTAAAGTATTCTCATTATTATCACTAGAAACTATTCACATCTGATTTCGATGCAGTTATTAAAAAAATAAACTCATTCTTGCATTTGCATTTGCACTTGCACTTGCACCTGCACTTGCACTTTTTTCACATTTCTGACCACATTTTTGCGATAACTTTTTGTACAATAATCTATCAGTGCACATATTCACATTTTATACAATAATCCATCAATCTTATATGTTCACTTTCTGCCAGCACTAATTTTCACATGATAGTATCATATGCTACTGCATACCATTTTGTCTTATTTTTCCTCTTAATTCTTGATCAACTTAATTATTTTAAGAATTAATAAAAAATGCATAATAAATCAATCACTTACTTATTTGTTGACAATTTTCTGGCTTACTTTTTTCTATTCTTGCCTCAAAAATGTGCACATGAACCCACGCATAGGTACAACAATTACTACAAATCACGTAGTTATAAACTTTATTAAGCTTTTTCAGTTTTTTTTTAACTCGCGTGAAATTTTTTGAATAAATAAATTTATTTTTACTCAATTATACACAATTTTGCCTTATGAAAAAATTTCGTATTGTGCACAAACTTGCAAGTTGCCTTACATTTTCATAACGTTTTATTGCCCGCATATTTTTGAATTTGCATAACTTAATCGCAGCTGCAAAGTTTCGCCTATTTTTGAAAGTGATTTACATTTTGAGACGATAAATGCAAGAAAATGTCATTATTTTGCATATATTCGTTAATATAATTATTCTTATCATCTTAAAAAATTTGTCGAATTACAACTTTGCTAATTTTTCATTTATTTCTTTAATATTTATTGTTTTTACCGCTTTATTGTATTACTATGTGATTACTGTTACGAGGGACTCACTAATAATAATGTCACACCTTAGTATTGGTTTTATTTTTCATGCCATATGTGATGACATTTAGAAGATAATTGAAAAATTAGCAGCAATAATAACAATAATATTATTAAAATTAGTAATAATAATAATAAGTAAATAATGAAATTATAGGTACCCGAGAATATGAATGCATTATGATTGAAATGGTGGTGAAAATAGGCAAGGGGATAATGTTGTTGACATCAAAAGCCGACCATAAATGTCAACACGTATGTCACGTGACGTGATTTTCTGCTGTTGTTTGAAAGTATTTGCATTCTACAACGAGCATGGCGTCTTGCCAAAGAGAGATTAAAGAACAGCAAAGAATGACTTATTAATACTAAGTTAGAGTGAAAATTACTGAAGTGATGAGTAGTGTCAGTAATAATAGTAGTGGAATGTTTCAGCCATAAAAAGATTTTTCCTTAAAGTTAGTTGTTTGTATTTTTTTTCCGTCAAATGTTTGAGATTTTTTTGCAGAAAAAGTAATCATATAAAATGTCTATTAGTGATGTATCAAAGCAACCGCAAATTAAAATTGGTCATTATGTTCTTAATCAAACGCTTGGTGTTGGTACTTTTGGTAAAGTGAAAGGTAGACTTTGACTTTATACGAATAATTTGTCAGTTAAATTTAACATATTGTTCATTGTTGTCTTCAGTTTCCTTATTTTAAAGGTTAGATTTCTTTGTTTGGGCTTTGATAAAAATTTTGGCTGAGGTCATTAATATTTTTTATCGTTTAACTAATTAATAATCGTTTTGGCTTAATTTATTTTATGTTATTTGTATTGTTTTTCCAATTTTCATGAATTTCAGTAGGTACTCACGAAGGTACGGGTTACAAAGTTGCTGTAAAAATTTTGAATCGACAAAAGATTAAAACTTTGGATGTTGTCGGAAAAATACGCCGTGAAATACAAAATTTGTCATTGTTTCGACATCCACATATCATTCGTTTGTATGTTTGCTTTATATTTTGTAGAAGAATTAGGAGATATGTTGAAAACTTCTTCGCTTCTTTATTTGCACTGCGTTGTTTACTTTTCTCAATATCTGTTTTCTTCAAGCTCGGAAAGTAAAACTAGTAATTAGCATATTAATAAGTATTACTTTATTTAGTCTAATCCCGAGTACAACTTTAGATATCAAGTAATAAGCACGCCAACGGATATTTTTATGATAATGGAATTCGTTGCTGGTGGTGAACTGTTCGATTATATTGTCAAGCATGGAAGAGTCTGTTTCATTTATTGTTGCAGAAAGTGTTTTTACACTTCTTTTTTTTCCTAGGCATTGTTTTTTGCTAGAAAAAGGAATAGTTTTTTCATATTCTTTCAAATTAAGTGTGCTATGGATGAGTAAATTTTGAGTTCGAAAAGTTAAGATGGGAGTTATTTTTCAGCTGAAGACTCCCGAAGCACGTCGTTTTTTCCAGCAGATAATTTCGGGTGTAGACTACTGCCATCGTCATATGGTAGTGCACAGAGATTTGAAACCTGAAAACTTGCTACTTGATGACAAAAATAATGTGAAGATTGCTGATTTTGGTAAGTTTGTGTTCGGTCAGTAGTTTTGATTGTTACTCACATCTTCAAATAACCTCATATATTGCATGTTTTTTAAGGTTTGTCTAATATAATGACTGATGGTGATTTTTTGCGAACAAGTTGTGGCAGTCCTAACTACGCAGCACCTGAAGTGATTTCTGGGAAGTGAGCTTCATAACAATTTCAGTATTTAGCGCATGAATTGAAATAATTGCCGTTACTTGGAATTTGTTTGTTATAATTTTTCAGATTGTATGCAGGTCCAGAGGTTGATGTATGGTCGTGTGGTGTTATCTTGTATGCTCTTTTATGTGGTACTTTACCATTTGATGATGAACATGTGCCATCTCTGTTCAGGAAGATCAAAGGTATTTCACTAGGAATTCAAAAATTCTTGTATTGTGGTGGTCAGAACTAAATCATGTCCAATTCACTATTTTAAACATAGTTATATAATCAAGGAGGAAGTCATAACTGTTTTTCAAATAGTGAGCTAGGTATGATTTATATTTGAGCAGCAAACAATACTTGGCGATATGGATTCGTTATAGATCCTGAAGAAAAACTACTTGCAATGTTTCTAAATGAATATTGCAGCTGGTATATTTCCAATTCCTGATTATTTGGAGAAGCAAGTTGTTAACTTGCTATTACATATGTTACAAGTTGATCCCATGAAAAGAGCAACGATCAAAGATGTCATGTAATTTTTGTTCATGTTTTTATTCACATTTACTGTTATTCGATGAATTTAATTTTCAATTATTTATAGACAGCATGATTGGTTTCAAAGAGATTTGCCAGCTTATTTGTTCCCACCAATCAATGAAAGTGAGGCATCTATTGTTGATATAGAAGCTGTAAAAGAAGTCACGCGAGTAAATCAATTTATATTGTTTTCTAGTGTTTGAATCATCTTGCATTTATTTCTCTGTAATCAAAATTTTTAATATTCAAACGTTTGCGATATCATTTGCTTTTCTTTTATTAAATTCTAAGTTAGATTTTTTTGATAGAGATACGGTGTCTTGGAGGAAGATGTAACAAATGCTTTGTTGGGGGATGATCCGCATCATCATCTGAGCATAGCATATAACTTAATTGTCGACAACAAGCGTATCGCTGATGAAAGTGAGTTATAATTCTGTGACTGCTATTTTTTCTAAATTACTTTAAATACACTACGAATGATTAATACGAAGCACTTCATTATGCTGAAATGTATGTTTCACACGACAATCACAATTCCTTCCAAATATTTCCTACAGTTTTTCATTATTTTGCATGAGATTTCGTATTATTCTTCAAGCATATGAATTCGATGGAATCTGCATAAGATTCCTTTAAACTGTATTGCAAGTGTTGTTCAAATACGTACCTAGGACGGAAATTTTTACTTTTATTTCAGAAAATATTGTACACATATATTGTATTTATATTGTGCATTTATTGTGGGATTAAATTAATGAAAAGCAAGATCAAAAAAAAATTTTTGCTTAATGATCGTCATATCGAAATTTTTTTTTAATAGTCGAGTGAGTGCTGGTTTACAGACGCTATGATAGTGTTGTTCCTTAAAAACAAGTATGTTATGGTAATGGGAGTAAGTTTTATAAACCAAATTAAGTGTCATTTGTAGTGTTGAGTATTAGTCCTTCTCTATGATAACCGAAATTATGACATTTTTGACAAAAAGCTTGAGAATATGTACCATTTGCCGTTTCTGAAGACTGCGTATCAATCATAAAAAAATAAATCAAGAGAAATGCCTCGAGGGGAGTTGTGTAGTCAGATTGCGATAAATATGTATGGGGAGCTCGTGATTGTTCATTTGGACCACCACGCGCTGATCTGGCTTTCTGTGACCTTTGTCCCCATTACGGTGCACCGGGTTGTATTTTTGGCTACCAGTCAGAATTTGGTCTTCGATCCATCGAGGATTATTCGAATATTACCAATAAGTGTAGGTCTCTTCCTCACCATCATGCTTCTACTGATGCTACTGCGTAACACTCATATTTCATATGTCACCGTAAACTCATTTTTTTTTACCGATCCTTTTTTGCAAAATAAATGTCTTTGTTGTCCAGCAACATTAATATTTGACTGAAAATATATGCAGTACAAAATACCATACCTTGACTTCCGTCCCGACTGCTAAACTTTTGTTTATGCCATTTGCCGGCTAGAAAATTTTAAGTTGTTGACATATCTGAATGAGACTTTTCTTTGTACTTTTTAGAATGATTTGCAATTCCTTCCAAAGTGTTATATTGGTTATTGTAGAAAGTTTGATTGCTCAAAGACATAACGAGACTTCTCTTGCTTGTAATAATCATTAACTCTGTGCTTGAAACTTAATTTATGCTATTATTAGCTTTGCTAACTATCTAAAAGTTGTTCTGAGTGCTTTATAAGATGTATTGGTGTTTTTAATATTCTATTTAGAGATTGAAGAATAATTATTTGGCGCACCTCCGTTGTCACTATCACCTAAAAGAAAAGAATTGTTTTCAGCGGCGAAGCTATCAATTGAAGAATTTTATCAGGTAACACCAGCAGGAAAGTTGCAATCATGTGACACATCTCATAGACATCCAGAGCGAATATCTGGTGTGTTATGTGTTTTTTTTCTTATTTCATACATGAAATACACTTTTGAAAAAAAAGGTCATTTAAGGAGAGGAAGTGGTTATTGGTTTCCAGTGCATTTTGCTGTGCTCTGCTTTTTTTTGAAGTGACTATTTTTTAAGTAGTTTTTGATTTATAGTTAGCATGAAATTTTTCGCCACTTTTCGGTTCCAGGATCAAACAAAATAACCCCTTACTTGGAAAATATTGGTGGCGGTGATTCTATGTCTACGTTTCAAAATACGCAGCAGTCGATATCTAATGTAAACCCATCTCAGAAATCCCCTCATATACGAAGAGCTAAATGGCATCTTGGAATAAGAAGTCAAAGCCGCCCAGGTTTTTCTTTGTTCAAAAAGAGAAGAAGCTTTGGTGCAAAATGATGAAATTTGACAAGACTTATAAATTTTCATTTTTGCAGAAGACATAATGTATGAAGTGTTCAAAGCTATGAAATCTCTTGATTTCGAATGGAAAATATTCAATCCCTATCACATTATTGTTCGTAAAAAACCGGATAATCCAACTTATGAACCTGTAAGTGTTTCTCTTAAAACTTTGTATTTTCGTAACTCTTTAAACCATATATATTTTATATATGTTTCATATTATACGTATTCAAATTTTAGCCAAGAATGAGCCTTCAGCTTTATCAAGTTGATCAGAAAAGCTACCTCCTCGATTTCAAAAGCCTTGTAGATGAAGAAACAGGTACTACAATGTCTAAACTTTTTATAAATTGTTTGAAATATTTTATTTTTCATTTTGGTAGAGTATGGAACATTCAGATTATAAATCTGCCTATCTCTTTTGCCATAAAATCATTATTAAGACTTACAGGCAGTGCCAATTCATCGCGACATGCATCAGTCTCTTTGCCTGTTAAACCCTCCCTAAGAACCGGTCGCGCTCAGTCATTACCAGTTCCAATGGAAGTGAGTGGTTTTATTTTATATTTGTTAACTACAATAAATAGTTTTTGGAGGAATTGCTTGTTAGCTTATTACCAAAATTTTTACTAAAGTTTAGGTTGATAATCCTCCTCCACCAGTCGCAGTCAAACAGTCGCAAACGATGCAGTTTTTTGAAATGTGTGCTTCACTAATTGGCGCTCTGGCGCGTTAAAGCATCTTATTGCCTCAGTGATCTTATTGTTGGCATTCTCGAAATATGAGCACCGTAAAGTTTTCCTTGCGAAGTTTGCTCTTCTTTTTGCCAGTGATTTTAGCAGTTTGTAAATTGGACTAATTTGTATATATAAACTATGTAGAGTCTTGTCATAAAAGTAGGTTATTTTAAGATTACTCACTCATTTGTCGGGAATAGCTGTGCAGTTACAAAGCACAAAACATCTGTTAAGGTCTTTTAGTATCTTCTGTTAAGGTTTTTATTTAACTATTTAATGACGGTATGAAATTACCGGTATTTATTTATCTAAAATCACAACTACGTGTTATAACAGCTGAAATTCCCCATTCTTTGTAAAATAATATATTCTCTTGGTTTGTTTAATATAGTCATAGTCAGTTGCCGCCTTGTAGATGTTTGTTCTTACTTCTTGTTATGACTTTTTTATTTAGTCGCTAGCTTTGAAATGTTAACAGTAGATCTAGGGCTCATTTTGAAGGCAATTGACTTCGGGTAGATTTTCAGCAGGTTAGTCAGTGTCGTTTTGTTTTTTTAATCAATTCGATAACATCTAAGGATATCCTGCGATACTTTGTCTCGCTGGGAAATTTTTTTGAAAAAATGGTTCATTTTTCTCTTTAGCTATCAATACGTTCGAAGAAATTTCTTAGAATACCCACCCCAGCTTATTTTGTATTCAAATCATATCAAACGAATTGTTTAGGTTTAGGCCGTAGATTTTTCAGTAATGTTCATCGCCTTGACTAATGCATGATTTTTTTTGCATTCGTTCATGAGTTTTGAAAGTAACAATAAAATCTTGTAATTATGCTGAGAATTGACATGAATTATAGATTCCATTTTTTCTTATTCATATTTTTGACTTTCGTGAGTTTAGTAACGCATAGAAATAAAGAGCTGGGGTTTTTTTTTCAGTTTAGAATCGGGTTTCTGGAAAATTGGAAGCCGTTGAGTTATTGCTAGAATTTGTGCTTTAAATATCATTATTTACGGCTTTTGATATGGATATGTATGTAGAACTGGGAGCCGAAGAATTCAAAAACTTCTAGGTAAACAATACAGGCATAATTTGGCAGTAGAAATGAGGAGTAGACGAAAAACACAAATATGTATAAGTATCATCAAAAGTAATCGCTTAGTGAGTTTCGTGGGTTGATAGGTTGAGCGTACATTCGGTTCCCGATGGTGATCATCACTTAAACTTAAAACTGCGATATTTGTCTGCCATATTGTCGACATCTGTATGCAACATTTGCCAGAATAATTACTATTAATAAAAGTACAAGTACTACGGCACTGTAGATGAGTAGCGATTTGTAACCTTTATTTTCACTGTCCACATGCAATTCATCTAAAATTATTTGATAAATATTTGGCGATTTCATGCTTAATTACTCAGTCAGTGTAATACATCTAATTTAAAAAAGAAAGCATTTAATCTAGCCTTACTTGACTATTGAAGAAGAAAATTAATGAAATAAAATTATAAATTAATTAACTGGTAATTGGTGTTTATTTTAATATTTACTCGAAGAATGAGTCTGGAGATCATGTTTGTATGCATCTCTCATTCATATGTGAAGTAGTTGCTGAGCTTCAGAATTCATAAATTTGTTTTAGAAATAATTGGTACAGGAAGTGTTACCTGGCTTAGATGAATTTATCACATTATCTGTCGTTGTAGATAATGTTGGTAAAACTTCTTTGTATTTCACGTCATCTATATCGCTCGGATCTTTAATATGTTAAAAGTAGTGATGAGAATACACTAAATTCATCTATTAATTATATTTAAAGAGCAAGGAAAGTAAAAATGACACAAATGCATAATTTTAATAAAGACTAAGAACGAAAGTCTTGAAGATTAATTGGCGAGGATCAAAAACGATTGATAATAACTTCAAGTACTTTAAAAGTATCTTATTGTCTATGACTAATTAATTGAAAATTGAGTTCTTATTTAAGATTGTTTATTGTAAAAATGTAAATTTGTACCATTTTTCAACGCTTCTTCTATAGTATTTCGTGTTGTTGGAGTTATTAATGAAATATCATTAGCAGTTTGTGATTCAATGACTCGCATCTAAAATTTTATGAGCAAAAACGTAGTTTCACATAATTGATGGGAAAGTATCCTTCATACAAGATTTTGTACAAGAATATAACTTGTGAATAATGTACATTGATCTTGCGCAAATGTTGTCACATCGTTTTTGTAAGCGACTTTGTAAATATTGAAAAAGTCTTGAAATAGTTACTTCTTGCGCAGATTTTGCTTGGTTTGATATTGATATTGTTGTCATTTGAAGCCGTAAATTCTCATCTGCAATAAGCTAATTATTTCATTTCAGTTATTACGTGTTTTTTTGTTTTTGCATTCTTCATTTATTTAAAACCTCCAAATTTATAACGACTAAAGTGGAACGATAATATAACTTTTACTTCCATATAAAGCGATGCAGCAAATATTCAACAGCAAATTTTCAACATAATCCAAATACAGTATACATTTTCTTAATTACTCGAGAAAGGTAATAAAAAGGAGAAAATTTCAGTGAGAAATGCGTTGCATTTATAATGAAGTATCTGTCCGCGATCAAAAAGTTGTGCTTGATAAAAAACAGCTGATCAAAAATTCCGAGTGTATTCGTTTAACAATTATTTGCTAGAAGTACCTTGCTGAGGTGAAGTAACTCACTGAAAGAATCACTACATAAAGTAAAAGTGGGTAGGTAATACGTATCAATTGTAACATAGTCAGAAGTGGTGTATAAACTGCATAGAGGACACAAACCTGTGGACATGAGTGGCTGTTTTCTGGGTGTCGCAGCAGAAGTTGGAAGTGGAAAAACTTTGTAAACTTTTATTCTTAAAGGATTTTGCGAAGAAGGCGTTGTTGTATTTGGTGAAGTTTGGGATGTGTTTTGTCTAAGCTTTGATATCTCACTCTTCTCAGACTTATTTTCAACATTCAAATCTTCGAGACTGGACTCAGCTTGAATTTCAATCTCATCTAAAGGATTAATACTATATACGCTTGGAATTGTTGAAGTTGTACTCGCATATTTGTTGACTAATTCTGTTGCAATGAATTCTGTATGATTATCCTGAAATATGGTATTAGTATTAACATATTTTTGTACCTAAATATTTCAAAGTAAGACCAAAAAAAACAAATCTTTCGTTTCAAAAAAAATTCGAGAAAAGCTAAAAATGTTACTATAAGACTACCAAGACAACAAATATTTGCAAAAACTTAATTTTCCTAAAATAAAAACAAAAAATGAATAATGCAGGGATTAATTCTTATTCAATTACTTTGCTTTAATATATTTTGCAGAATTCTTTATTTTATGCACTAATTACAGTGACAAACTAATATTCAAGTAAAAATCAATCTACTTTTTCTAAAATATCAAATTTAATGCATGAAAAATTTGTTTTTATTATCAAACACGTCATAAAACACATCTGCTTTAATATAATTTTAATTCAATATCGAATTCTGATATTGTATATTTAAAAATGCTGACCAGATATTGAGTCAAAAAAATTTCGCTCATAAAAAAGTTGAATAATTTTTATGTCTAAATTTGTATTAAATTCATATAAATCGAATAATGTAGTTAACTAACTTAAACTAACTTGTTGAGTAAGTTGTTGATCACTATCATGAACATATATCACTTCATTGTAGTCATCAGTTGTAGATATTTTGGCTTTTTGCATTTTCATACTACTTTTTTGATGTAATAGATTGAGTTCATTTTTTTCAGATTTTGTTATTAAATCTCTATTATCTGAATTCTTTTTAAAAGCTATAAATGATAGTAATTCGAGAGATTTATCAGCATTAGTTTCAATTGTTGGAATTTGCATATCAGAAGTTGTCATAACTGGAATGCCAGAAAAAGTAGCTACTACAGCTTTTGATGAAGCTAAGGCTGTAGATGAAGCAATAGTTGGAGGTGCCATTCTTGCAGGAAATGAATCATCACTGACTTTTTCGTTAGAATTTTTGGAATTTCTAGCAGTTGCTTGATTCGTAATGTTACTTTTGATATAAATATTGTCATCATATATTTGCAAAGGTATGCGTTTTACAGAATCATTATTGTGTGCAAAAATGTTTTCCATGGATTCATTGTCAATATAACCGTCATTAACTGAGCTGAAAAGAGGTTCACTAATTTTTAAATTTTTGAAATATTTCTTTGTATTAAAAGAATCTTTTAGCAAGATGATATATCAAAAATTCAAAAAAGAATTCATAAATTAAGATTTCAAACTGAACAATATCATATTAAAAAGTGATCTTTTATAGAATTTTTTGTTATAAAATCTAAAAAATTGAGCAGGTGTAATAGAAGCAATAATTTTAGCTAGTTTTAGTAAAATAGTCTTTTAGATAAATCTCAGCAATTTATTTTGCATTCAAATACTTCAAAATCGTTTATTCCAGGAATAAAAGACATTTTGAAAAAATTAATGAAAACAATAATATAGCCAACTTTTGAGTTCCATAAGAGTAAACGTTATGGATTTTAAAATAAATTTTACAAAATAGTTTTGCTGCATTTTAATCTGTCAGAAGAATTTTTTCGAGAAAAATAAATAAATAATACCTGGCATTAATTTTTTGAAAGATTTTTTTTCCAGTCATTCTTAACGATGAATGATAGAAATTTGGTGGTATGTCCAGCAAATCATCGTCAGGCGAAAAAAGTTTTTTCAGATTTGTCATTGCTGTAATAGCACTATTATCTGCCATTCTTAAATTTAATTTCAGGCTATTTAATTTCGTTTTAGGCATACAACTCTGTCACGTAAGTAATTCATTGATATTAATTTTATACTGTTTTATACTTGAATGAATTCAAAAAATAAACCCAAAATTTTCATAGCTTTTGAATTTTCATCATTTCAAGTATCACTATTTTCTTCTAAGCAAAAGCAAAACTTTACAGTTTTTGTACTACATTTTTTCTAGGAAATAGCCGAAAAGTACTTAGTTCACATTACCAGTTACTTGAGAGTCTGGATCAATCGTGGAAATTTCATCCTAAATACGAAGAAATGCAAATTATGAAAATCCATCGATTAAATGCTATAATTATTTTTTGAAAACTTAATTTGCAAAAGAATTTGAGTAAAAATTGTGGAACTTGAAAATATTTTAAACAATTCGAAAAAAATATAACGTTAAATTCAGTACTCCTCAACTATTTTGTGGAAAAGTGACGAAAATATTCAATAATTGTTAGCAATTAATGTAAATATAGTTATTCAATTCTCGTTTTGATAAGCAGAAGAATTGATTTCTAAATTTGAATTGCTCAATCAGAAGATAGTTAGTTAACTTTGCATTTTTGGTAGATTAGCATAGAGATTAATTAACCGTTGCTACAGATGATGACAACGATGAGGTTGTTGATTGTGCTTCTGGTATTTTGACAGAATCATAAACAGGACACTTATCCAGAAAATTCTCGCTGAAGTGATTTAGAGTTCAGAAAAATATAGAATTACTTATCTCAAAAATCAAGAAAATAAATTATCTTTGCAGAATCATAATTCTATGGAATTATTTAAATATATTTTTGTTGTTAGATGAAATTTTTTTTCAACAACAAACATAAAAATGCTAACTCCATTTCCATCTTTTCTAACTCCATCTTCAATAATTTCATAAAAATGCTCACTTTTAGATTTATTTTCAAGCAAAACATTGCATTTTTGTAGCCAAAAAAAGCTTTTAAGCTTTACTAATTTTGCTGAATTTACGAGACTATGCATGTGTTTAATTTTAACACTTTGATATTTTGAATACAAAGTGGACAATAAAATAAATAACCTAAATAGACGGTCATCGGATGGTAGTAAAAACGATAAGAAGTAATTCCTCATATTGGTGAATGTGAATTTGTAGGCTGCATTTGGACAGTAATTTCTCATGGAATTAACAAGGCACAAAGTGTGATAGTACGCATCTCTAAAATGGCTTGTTATATATAAATATATATTAAAACTCACTTTTTTATGGCTGTTATCAAATGAAATCAATTTCCGCTCTAATCTTATTTTTTTAATGTCAAAAATTATTACGCTAATTTGCTGCGTAATATAGAAAAATTATTTGCTGAAGTGACTGTTTAATGTTTGCTTTTTACGTAATCAAAATTAAATTATTATTGCAATGTCAATGATAGGTTTTGGGTTATTAGAATATTTGCTTCCTACATTCCTTCAAAGTTTTATATTTAATACTTTTAATTATATATATTTAATAACTAATTTTGTGAAATTAAGAATATTATATATAAATGGCAGATATGATTTTCATAATTTCAATTTTTAGCATATGTTCAGTTCATTTTTTGAAAATTTTGTGAAACTAAGAATATTAAATATAAAAAAACCAACCTACAACTTTGTTGTGGTGGGCCATTTTGTTCTAATTTTAGATTCTTGACTGCTTGTAATTTGTATACAGCGCAACGTGTCTCCACTAAGGAATGAAATTTACTGATACAAGCCAAATTAATCATATCACTATCTACAATATTTTATAGCATTACACCTTAAAAATTCTTAGAATAGCTTTATCTTAGCTTCCATTTGTATTTAGTACTCTCTGAGAGTTTTTAAAAAATTTCGTTAATAGATGAGTTAATACGTGAAATCTTGAAGTCTACTAAATTAACGCAAAATTTGTTTGTTTACTTTTCAGAATCTTTCGACATCTGTCCTCAATAACATTGCGAATTATCATAAATTGTTGCTTATTTTGTAGTTCACAATGCTCCATACAGTCTAAGTAATCGAAAGATTTCCTAAAGTTTTTATTTTATTTATTAAATGATATTTTATGAATAGCACTAATTGTTAAAAAAGTACTGTTTTTTATTTTATAATTTTCGTCTTAATCTTAACTTCGAACAACAATAATTTTTATTATTAAACTAATAAAAAATGAATTTTTTCAATAAGTCAGATTTAATTGAATTAATATTCATTTATCGACTGATTTAAAAAATTGAATCTAACCTTCAAAAAAGCGCTAATTTTCAATTTGGTTGTAAAATGGTAACAAATTTTTATTTCAAAAAAGTAATTGCAATAACTCTTTTATTTGTTTTCATCTATTTTGAATTTCTTTTACGAATAAAAAACCAAAATTTATTACTTTTCCGTTGTAAAAAAATTAGCAGTAATTATGGAATACATTTTAAAAACGAAAAAATAATCAAACCAGCAAGCATCAATAACTTTTTCTGTCGATTTCGGTCGTTCAAAAAGATAAAGCACACGTTCGAAATTTTCATTTATATGCTGAAGGGATCGCTGATAAATGCGATTACAGCGATATGAGCAATATGGAGCATCTCGAGCTGATCTCTTCAAACCATGCTAGATAGATTATTTTCTGTTTTAGTACAGAACATATCATATATTTGGAGATGATAACTTTTGTGATAGTTCTCGAAACAACTGTGATCTATACGTAGTAAAGTTATAATTAGTTACTCTGAGGGGCTGCCATGATGAAAAGAAATATGAACCTGAGAAATGCTCATTTAAATACTTACAGCAGATAAATGTTGACCAGAATATTGGTGAAAATTTTGGACGCATGTGAATAACACAATCATTAATGATAACATTGCGTATAAATTGGCATCAGATACTAATATGAGGATTGTGATTTGAAATTGATATAACTTTTAACATATCAATTAAAAACATATCACATTCAGATTTATCACATTCAGATTTAATAACATCTGAAAATTATTGTGAGTTTTAGCATTGCATGACTGGAATATGTATGAAATGATTTTGACAAAAAACTTTATTCATTTATATTTTATTTCAAATTTGACAGCTACAATCAAATGAAATATTTTATGGAAAAAATAAATGATAAATTAAGTTGAAATAATGAGAATCTAAGCAGAAAAATAGATCAAACAAATAATGCCTTTAAATGGATATTCAATGATAACACTTTTAATATGTATTACTAAATTATATATATATATATTGAAATAACAAGATTTTATCGCAATAAATGTTTTTTTTTTTCAAAAAATAATGCAAAATTAAAAATAAAGTGATTGTGAATGAAAATTAAATGGATAGTATTAGTTTACATCCAAGATATACAGTTGAAGAAACTAAAACAAAGCCTGCATTAGTTTGTTTGTTTTTTATTTTAAAAAATATCTTCCCAGTAGAGCGAACAAATTCATATTAATTCTTTTCGCAGAACAAAACAAAAAACAGAAATGTTAGCAACTGTTAAGTTCAGTCGAATTTACAGCTGCGTAAGCTAAGATTGAAACAGTTAATGCATTATGTTTTTCAATAAAATTCAGAACTTCAATGCTGATAATTTATTGATAGCAGTAAAGAAGTACCTTAACAAATATCTACTTTCAAAAATCGCTTTGTTTTATTTATAAAGTGTATTTTCAGAAGATTTAAAGCCATTATAGTTTAGTTTAAAAAAGACAAAATCTCGTTGGAACAATATTAATAAGTTAGCCGCGATATCTCAATTTATAAATTTTAACACCTTATTTTCATTCATTGCTGATTTAAATATATTGTGCTGTTAAATCCACGATTACTATTGTCATTGTTGTTATATTAAAATAATAGATTTAAATGCTTTCATGAATCTAGAACAAAATTACGGAATTTAAAATTTGATAAACAAAGTTGTGTAACAATTTTAGAACTTTGCATGAGAATCGATATGGATGTAGAAATTATTTCATTTAAAAAATATTTAAAAAAATTTTTTATTGCAATTTAATTAGCATATATTGGCAGTTTTGGTCCTAAAAACAAGAAAAATTTTGAAGTACTGGAAAAAATCAAGTTATTTCGATAACAATACTTCGTTTCATAAAAAATTATAAAAATGAAAATATGGCCAAAATTTAATTTAAAGCTATTAGTAATGAAAAAGCAGTTATTTTAATATAGCAACAATGATAATAGCAATAATGATGTTAATAATAGTAATTTGCAATAATATTACAAATACTATTTTTTGTAAGCAGAACTGTTATCATAATCACTCGAGAAAAAATCATATCCACAAATTATTTCCCATCTGTAGTAAAAGGTTGAAAGTAAAGGATATTGAAGCAGTGAGGTCTAGGCATTGAAAATGCTGTGAAAAAATATTAAAAATTTTCTTTTTTTCACTTTCAGCGTAATTTCTTTTTTTCAACACAAAACTGTCTTTTAATAATATAAACAAACAATATTTGATAAAAATAAAAGAATACGTATACTTTTAGAAACTGCAAATTTTATTTTTGATCCCATTGCAAATTCGTTTTAACACTTTCAAGTTAGGCATCTTCAGTGAATGCATTGATATCGAGCAATACTTCACTTTTAGTTTTATATGCTATAATAATTGTTTTTCAATTAATTACTCAAAAAGTTGAGAACAATGATTTGTCTTACTTTATAATTGCAAGAATCGATGCATTTTGATTATCTAATTTTCAAGTTTTATTCCGTTACTATGGATTTATATAGAAAGGCAAGCTTGAGTCGCATAGTCAATTGAAAATTCATACGCCAATCTGATTGAACAATATTAGGTTCATGCGTGAATTCAGCTCGTTGACTTGAGAGATCAGTGCAACAATTAAATCAACCAACCTCAAGTTCAAGTAAATTGACATCATGATTTCTGTAATCCACAAGCAAAATTATGGATTACACAAATCATTGTTTTACAGTTGTAAGAATCAGTAAAAGAAGCAGTAATTAATGTTGCACTGTTTCTACAAAAATTCCTGAGCAGTTTTAATGTGCAGCACTCACGACCAATTGCTTTACTGATTAGTATTTGAGCAGTTTCATTTTTTGTTGTTCGTCGATCAAATTTTTTAAATCAATCATTTATTTCTTAATCCCGCGGTACTTTTGATATGTGTACAAATAAAATAACTATTCATACGATACTTCAGATGCCACAAAGTAATCTTAGTATGAAAGTGAAAGCAATTAAAGACTTAAAGTACTAGCTAGATTTTTCAGAGTTGCAAAAATGTACATCTCATCACTGAAAATTGAATCGCTCACAATAGTCTAAAATCAAAATTGAGAACTTTGAATACGTTGCTATGTTTATTTTGTTGAGAAGTACACAACTAAAAATTTTATTATTTGTGATAGTTTTTGCAATTAAAAAATGATATCAATGCTGGCATATTCATTTCATGTGAAAATAATCATTTATGTTATCAAGAGAAAAGATGTACACATAACTAATAGTGATATACTGACACTTTTATTAGTACTGGAAAAATGAATAACCAAAAATGTTGTCTCATCTTTTCACTTTCTTTATCTGAGTTCTAAAAACGAACAAAAACAAAAACAAAAAGTGAATGTGATTGGACTAGACTGATATTAAAGAAACAAGTAACAAAATTTGATCGAAAACGAATCAGTAGGTTACATTTTCTTTTTGTGAAGACGCAAGATAAAAAAAGCAATATAATGATAATAGTAATAATAATAATAATAATAATAAAATAATAATAATAATAATAATGGTAATAATAATAACTAGAATAGAGACAATGAAGCACAGCTTCGAGATCATCGTTTGTTTCATAATTTTAATATATCATTCGTGCTATCACTTTATTAGTAATACGATTAACTACGAAAAAACTGTACTATGATTCATTTCGAACTTCACTCATTTTCTAAAATATTCAATTTGTTGCAAAAGAAATTATCTAAAGAACAGAAACTAATTACTGGAAGATAAATTTGCATGACTAGGATAGCACCGAAAAATTTATTAGGTTGCAGCAAAAATTTTAGTACAAACAATTACAGTTTCATTGCATTCCTTATATTTTCGCTTTAAAAAAATAAATTTTGACTGCAAGACAAAATTTGCAAGCTATCACTTTATTAAATTTTAAAACAATTTACAAATCATCAGGTACAAAGATGACCTCATATCGGCACGGTGTATCTGTATGATTAATCCTACGATATTTTTCACCCCAGCCTTTGCCAACACTGATATTCAAAAAACGTAGTGTATTTGCGGGGTCTCGTTTTGTTACACATGTTCCCTTCTGTAATGAAGGACCGATACCGCGGTGGACCCGATAACAATACCCGCTACTTAATCTTCGGATCGTTTCTGCTTTGTGAGAACTTAAAGACGACGATATGGAGATGAATAACGGTTTGTTCCCGCTAAAATAATAGTTTTCAATGAACAAAATACTGATAATGATTTAATTTTATTACATTAAATAATGTGTTCAACTAATAACAATACAGTTTGTACTCAATAATATTAAGATTTGAACGCAATAATTTTTCCCACCATTAATACTCATTTACCCACACGATTACAATTTATGTACAATGTCGCAAATATTTTCCATAATGAACCGTCTTACGTACTTCAATCAGACAAAAATTCAAATTATTCTACAAAAAAAATTGAATTTAAAACACTGCTACAATTTTTTTATTCCTGTGCATTTTGCTTACAGACTAATCGCTACTGAAAATGATCAATCTTCACACAGAAATTAATTTCCAAACTAAAAATCAGTTCACATTTACCTATTATAAAGCCACACTTCATGTGATATTTGCTCCACATCTAACTGCCTAATTAAGGCAAATGACACTTCATTATCAATATCCCATTGTATAGAGACATTCTGACCATCGTGTACTGAATCAGCTAATAATCCTACAGCAACAAACTGACCACGAAGTGTTATTCCATGTTGATCCATTCGTTCTTTCTCTTTCCATCTGTACATATGAGCCCATGCTAAAATATAACCTTCAACACATACTTGGCTAACTTTTGATCACTAATGCTTCACTTCTGTACCTATAACTATTCTCGCTATAAGAAAATGGAAAAAACTCTTCAAAACCTTTACTTTTCTTCACCAGACTGTCTTATCAATCTTACCATTACATTTTAGGAAAAAAGAAATTCACGCTTTCATTTTCAGCCATCTCTAATTCATTCGTTAAATATCTTCACTGTAAAACTATGGCACTAGTGTATAGTTTCAGGTCTTGACTCTTCATAAGTAAGTACTGAAATTTTCCTCACTCGAAATGTCTAAATCACTCTCTTACTTATTAAAATGTAACACACAAGGAGAATGAAAGTGAGAAATAACTTCTAATTTATATTTTGATCACCAATTTCTTCTTTACAGTTTGTTATTTACTGACCCACAAATTATAAAAATTTGCATATAAGTTTTGAAAAATCGATATCTTTTGAAATAAAAACTCCAAATTATTAATATTTATTTATTTTTGTACATAACAGCTTGAAATGCTCTTTAATAGAAAATTCAGTGCATCATTATCGCAAGAAAAAATATTTCAAATTTCTAAAATTAACTTACTAATCAAAATTAGACAAAAATTATTTACTAGCAAAGTCCCTGTGAAATATCAAAATTTATTACTCATTCAGTTTTCAAAATCATTTGTTTGTTCTTAAGAATGTTTACAAGTCTGGCACAAAGAATCAAGAAAGAATTCTCGGAATATAACATCCTTTCTTTGAGTGAGATTTGCTTTTCTGGATTTCATGTTTATTCAATTTAGCACATAATAGCCTTATTCATAAGCATAAATTCTATAACATCATTAATTGTCATTGCTGATGTAAAGAAAGTAGTGATGAAGCAGTGTTGCGAGAAATTGTAATTTTCTTTACTAAAAACAACAAATTTTGAGTTGAGAAAAGTGTGATTATTGCTCCACCTTTAATACCTGTGATATAAAGGATTTCGTACACAAAACATATTTTTGAAAGTAACCTTACTGCACTATACCCTACTTCTAGTTAGTTATAAATTATTCAAGTCACATACAAACAATAAAAACTAATTTCTATTGTAAAAGTAAATTTCGATTTGCACATTAAGTCTAGAAAGAATTGGCTCTTTAAAATGCATAAAATCAAGCAAAAAAAGTACTGACCAGAAGAACGGGATCGATTACTACGTGTTGGCAACGGTGACGTTGGTGAATCAATAAGAGTCGGCGGGATACGTGAAGATTGTAACAAAGTATTAGCAATACTTGTGCCCGTAATTTCATCGCCAAAACCAGTATCATTTGTTAGATCTTGAAAATTTGCGTAAAAAGTATGTAAATTAGTTCGATAAACAGACTAGAAAAATTCAAGTAGATGAAATATATAAACGTGACTTTCACGAACAGAGAACAAATATAAATTGACAATGAATTAATTAGACATGTTAATTAAGCAAAAACAGCTATGGCATTACTGGATGGAACTATGACAATATTAAAATATCATTTCTTCTAATTTTAGTTAAAGGTTTAAAAATTAGATATTTAAATTTAGTGTTAAACGCGGAAATGTTATAAATCGCATATCAAATTAATGTATTATACAATTTGACGTTGATAATAAATATGAATGTAACATTTAATTAAATACATCAAAATTCTTCCACATTTCTATCGACTATGTACTGAAAAAGTTTGTGTCACTTATACGACCATAAAAAGTCAATTTTTTTGATTGAAGATAAACTATAAAAAGCGAAATATTCGACTGAATGACAAAACAAATAGCTTTACCTAGTCTTACTTTAAAGTCTACACTTTTTCACCCATTCTTCATTAGATAAGTCATTTTGACTAAAACTGACCAAGGCTTTCAAAATTCACTCATAAAATGCATTGGCATCAAAAATGGAAATAATTAGATACAAAAACTCATATCAGTAATAAGTTAGCTCAATTTGAAATTTAGTTAACTTATTATTGATATTATTTTGAGACAAAATAGTACTTTCGTTTAACTTATGATTTGCTCAAATATAGCGCAAAACTGTTTTCGAATCTTTAACCCTCTCAAAATTTATAATAACTTACAGGAATGATCAATAGGAAGGACGCCATTCAAGCCCCCAGATAAGCCTGCCTCCTCGGATGATAATTCAGAATCAGCTGAAAACACAAATACAAAAATTAAGATCCAAATATTTAAACACTGAAAATTTTCAATCATCAGAAATATTTTAAAATTGAAACTAAATGAGTGTTCAAAAATGAGAAATTGCGAAAAATGACGGAAATGAAAACTTTCGCTCCATTTTTATATTGAGTTTTAAAATACTTGACAATCAAAAAAACTAATTAGCACTTTTATTTTTTTTCAAACGTCAAATAGCAATCAAAAATGGCTAATATTTTTAAATTTTGCAGCAAAACAAATATTTTGTCAAAATCTTTGAGTGATCTGAAACAAGTGATATATATATTCAATGTATTATTAATTTTTTGGCCAATTCACATTTTCAACTTTAATATCACATCTCATCTCCAAACTAAATGTTTAATTTTTAATTCTCTCTAATATTCTACAAACACTTTAAAAAGTAAATAGAAATAAGGAAAAAGTGGGCTCTTACATAATTATTACAATTGATGAAAATAGTTATACTGACAGAAAACATAAGTGACCAACTAAACTGCCAAGATTAATATCAGCATATATTCATGAACAATTAATATCATTACTGAGGCACCATATTTGTGAATTGTTAGTGTCATAGATTATAAAAATGATATTATTTAATGAATATTAAAGATGACGCAAAGTAGATGTCCAAATAATAATCCACAAATAAGATTTAATAGCTATGGTGGTTGCGAAAGATGACTTCAAAAAGCACAAAGCAGATTGAATTGCTTTATCAAGATAAAGTAATTACTGAAGCAATTACCGTAATTATCGCAAAAAATGATTATGATTAAAACTAAAAAATGGTAACTGAACACAAAAACGATGGTTAAAATTTTGAATAAAAATTACGACTCACCGATAATCCATAATGCATAGTGATAGGGATTGCAACAGGAAACAGTAGCATTATTCATGGTAACGTGACCAAATCTACACCAAGGTAGAGGATCTAACCTGTGTAATGCCGCATCCACCTGCAAAACATTTCTGATTAACATTATTCTATTAATTGAGTAAAATGCTAAAACAACAGTAAATACATTAATTAACTTTCCGAATAATTGATTTTTCTAAAGTAAACCAAAAACTAGAACACTAAAATAAAGATGAATTCATGAGGATATTCACATGAAATTTGTCTTCTTTCAAAAATAAAAGACTAATTTATATTTTTTGAAAATATTGGCAGTTGACACGAATTAACAAATTAGTTTCGTAAGAAAAGTAATACAAATTTTAATCCGCAAACTTCAGTCTACGCTTTTGATTAGGATGATATTAGTCAACTTCATGTTACTGACATTAGAATTTGAATTTTTTTGGACAGGAATTTCTGAAAAGCTGTCAGCAATTGTGATAACAATCTTTAAACTTGTTCATAGTAAAAAGTTTAACATGTTGTTAAAGCTGTTTCTGGAATACAATTGCTGCAGAACAATTTGAAAAAAAAAGTTGTATGAGCAAAGTAACTACCACTGAATTCTCTGAAAAGCTGCAAGAAAAGTAAATAACAAAATTATGAAGAAAGAGAAATAAATATGAATGCGAAAGAGTTAAAATTGTTACTAAAGTGAAATGATGCAAAATTCCTAATCAGTTTTGCTGAAGCAATAAGTCGTAGTACACTTTTTAAAATTATATTGGAATCACGGGATAAAAACTGTATCATAATACGAAATACCTGCAATTCTTTCCAACGCCATAATTTACAACAAAGATAAGGCATAGACATAGGTTTATCAATTTGTGGTATTAATCCAGTATCTTCGTACCGCTGTTCTGGATAACCTTCATCATCATCATCACCATCCGTTTCAGCAACTTGTCGTGAACAACTTGGAATTTCTTCCATTATATCCATTGGTGGCCCAGGCGCACACTGCTTAATATCCCGACCACCACTTTGTACTGCCTTTCAATAACAAACGTACATAACAATTATTGTGTAATCTAACAAAAATTATTACATTTTTTTTGTAGAAATCATTATATAATTTCATTTTATGACTACTCAACAACTGTCATATAAACTTCCTAAATTTGCATAAGATAGTTAATATATAAATGTATATAAAAATTACGATGTAACCAATACGTTTTTTTTGACTTTGCAATATTTAATAAAAAAATGTCAAACTTGAAAAAATTATCTGACTGATAACAATTAAATTTAATTTTTATCATCAATAAAATCATTGTTGACTAAAAAAATTAAAAAAATAACTATATTGCCTAATGAATAATATTTTTGACCTGAAATGGATAATTAAATTTATAAAAAATAAAAGAATTAAAAGAAGGTGGATGCAAAAATAAAACTTTCATGAATAAAATATAATAACCAGATATGAATATTTATAACCTTAGTTGAAAACTCAATTCTAATTAGAACTTAAAAAAATATTTAGAAATATATTCATAGAAACCTTTAATATGGCAGCTAAATCTTCCGTATCAAAAGCGCGCAGTAATCTATCAAAACGTCTCCTTGCGCGACGTTCGTCTGATGATTGAATGGTGCGTAACCTCCAAAGCCTAAGAACAAATCTCAATTCGCAAAATTTGTACAGTACTATTATCACGAATCATTTTATTTATCATACACACATTAGATTTATTGACTTTAAATAAGCCAAGTTAGTCCAGTTCTGCAATTTACAAATGTACTCTTGGTATTCCTTAAATGGATTTTAATCATAACTACCTTTCAGTGTGTCGCCCTCGTTCGGATAGGAGGCACCAAATCCCGCAGTTCAACGGCATACCGTTGCATTTGCGCGCTTTACTACCTCATCCCGACACAATCTTTGTGTCGGACTTTTTTTCCTGAAATTGCGCTTAATTGTTCAAAAAATTAGTAATTAAGTATATTTAATTCAAGAGTGAAGTTTCTGCATATTGCAATGAAATGAAATACTTATGTAAAAATTATTGCATACCCAACTGATAACTGATAAAACTGATTTAAATTCTATTGAAAGAAGCAACTTTTCTATGCTTGAGAAAATAAGAATTGTCAGAGTTTCATTTTTCATAATTAATCTTTGCAATTATCCATCAACTTCTATTACAATTATGAGTAAAGAAAAGTCAGTTGGGAATTTGTTCGGAAAAGGAAATGGATATATTTGACATGTAAAACTTGTGGGTCAAAAAACCAATTCTTATTAAAACATAACTTTCTCATAAAAATGACTGATTGATTTTGTTTGAGTTCAAATAATCATTTCTATTTATTTGGCATTTTTTCTGCTGTTCCTTTGAAAAATGATGCACAACACTTCTTACCAATTAAATTGAAATTAGTTTCAAAAGTCTCTTTCAACAATATCTTATTTCAAAGATTTTTTACTGCTTCGAAGTGAATAATAAAACATTCACATTTTTTTCAAATAACAAATTTCAGTTCTAATAAAAAAGTAATGAAACGAATCCAATAAAATAATAGTATGATTTTTGTTTAATTCGTTACATTTTCAAGAGTAGTAATAACCGCAATGGATAAATTTTTCAGATACGTAAATTCAATCACTCTTCCAGGCATTAATAAAATTGAAAGTAATATAAACAAATTAAATTTAAAAAGTTAGCTGAAGAAAACTTACAAGCAATGAGTTTTTTCAGTAATAATTAACTATCGTCGTTGATCCGTTTGTTGTGACAGAGAAAAATTTTTTAGATACGAATACTACCAGAAAGTACCAATGAAAAATTGCGATAGACGACTGGAAATTTTACCAAAAATTCAATAATTATAAAATTTTGTCGATGCTTTCGTCTGTTATATATTGGAGTTATGATCACTGTTTTTGTTTCCTTTTGCTCTTTTCAACGTTTCATTCAGGCATCGCCATCAGATTTATTCATTTATTTCTGACTTTTATAATTCGTAAAACTGAAAAAAATTCGCATTAGATAAAGTCTTCTTTTAATAATCAAATTGCATATACTACATGGACACTTTTAAATCATTAAATTATTTGCCTATTATCTTGACGATATCAAAATCATAAAATTTCAAGCTTTTATACAATTTGATTCTATT